AGCCGAAAGGGAGCTCCCTGCTGGCGGCTCCGGGGATAAACGGCCAGCCTTCCTGGCAGCGCCTGGGCGCTCCTCCAGAGAGGGCCAGGAGGGCACTGGGCGCTGAGGGCACCGGGCTCTGAGGGCACCGGCACTGCCCTGAAGACCTCTGTCCGGGTCCGAGAGGCCTGCCTTGGAGGTCCTGTCTGCACTGGGCACTGAAGGCTGCTAGGCGTGCCCAGGGCAGGGCCAGGGTCATGCTGAGTATACAGAACACGCTCTGTCTGAGGCGGGCACTGGTGGACTCTGCTATGTCCAAGACGGTGCTGCCCGGAGCAGTGGTCTCAGAAGGAGCAACTGAGTCTTGCAGGCCACATCTTCCCAGGGTGGCTCTGCAAGGCAGACAGAGAGCGCTGCTGGAGGATGCCAGATGGCCTAGTCCATAGCAGGCACTGCCTGCCGTGCCCAAGGTGGCACTGGCAGAATGTACTCCCCAAGGTGGACACAGGCTCCTGGTGGCTTGGTCTGAGAGAGCTCTGCCCCAGGTGGAGCTGCCTAAGGGGTGAACCAGGGCCCAGGGGACATTGCCACAAGAGGCACTTGCTCCCTAAAGGAGTCCAACAATGCCAAGATTAACACCTTTCCGAAGCTCTTTGGAATGAGGTCTGCCTCTGGGTCCCTCATGTCCTATAAATATCAGGTGAGCTGCTCTACCTAGTGAGTGAGAAGGAATTTTAGACTCTCTGGATGAGGCTAGAGATATTTAGAGACCAGGCCTCCAAGATAGGTGGCTATGACTTGAGCTTGGAGAGAGAGAGAGAACATTTCTCTCTCATTAAGAGAGGTGAACACTTCTACAGGCAGTGTCCATAATGAAGGGAGGTACCCCAGAATGTGGAAGAAACTGGGTGGAGTGGTGCAGGAAAAAGGGTGTAGCAGACAAGGGCAGCTACTTCCATAAACAGCCCAACCAGGAACTTCTCCAGGCAGAGGTGGCTCAACCTGACAGACCAGGGAAGATTCAAGCAAGGGGGCTCAGGAACTAAGAGCTGAGTAAGAGCTAGGAGACCCTGAGGAGTAGACCACACCCAGAATGTGCATTTTGGATAAAGGAATAGCACGCACCCCAAACTCAATCCAGCACACTTTTACTGAGTGCCTGCTAAATGCCAAGGCAAGCACCAGGCACTCTTAGGGACATGGAGATATCAGACTTGGAGACTCTCCAGGGAACTCACATGGTGCAGTGGGGGATGGAAGTGAGCTGTGAGCAGTAGGATTCACCACAATGTCATCACTTGGATGATGAGATAACACTTTGATGGATGACTTATTTGGCTGTAGGAGTGAAAGAAAGCTGCTCTGAGGACATGACATTTGAGTGAAAGCTTGGAAGCTAAGTTGGACAGTGACTATCACTGTTGCTTTCTAAGCACCTACTATGTGCTAGACACTATCTCTATTCCTCACACCAAACCTATGAGGGAGACATTATTTTTATAGATAGAGATTAGATGTATGGACCCAGAGCCAGGTTGCCTAGGTTCAAATCCCAGCTCTGTCAGGTCTAGCTGTGTTACCCTGGGTGACTTACAGAACCTCTCTGTGCCTCAGTTTCTTTATCTAAAAAAGTGAGGTAATAATGCCTACCTTGAAGCTTATTTTGAAAATTAAATGAGTTTAGCCTTTTCAACAGATGGTGCTGGAACAACTGGACATCCACAAACAGAAACAAAAATTGAGTCTAGACACAGATCTTATGCCCTTCACAAAAATCAAAATGAATCATAGGCCTAAATGTAAAACATAAATCCATAAAACTCCTAGAAGACAACATAGGAGGAAACCTATATGACCTTGGGTATGGTGATTTTTTTTTCACATACAACATCAAAGGAAACACTTTAGGAAAGAAAGGATTAATACCCTGGACTTCATCAAAATGAAAAACTTCTGCTCCATGAAAGGACAATGCCAAGACAATGAGAAGACAAGCCACAGACTGGGAGAAAATATATTCAAAAGACACATCTGATAAAGAACTGTTATCCAAAATATACAAAGAAATCTTAAAACTCAACAATAAGAAAACAAACAAACCAATTTAAAAATGGACCAAAGACCTGAACAGACATTTCACCAAAGAAGATATACAGATGGCAAATCAGCATTTGAAAATATGCTCTACACCACATGTCATAGAACATTGCATTAGAATGGCCAAAATCCAGAACACTGACAGCACCAAATGCTGGCAGGCGTGTGGGGCCACGGGAATTCTCATTCATTGCTGCTAGGAATGCAAAATGGCACAGCCACTTTGGAAAACATTTGGCAGTTTCTTATAAAACTAAACTTACTCTTCCCATATGATCCAGCAATTGGCCTCCTTGTTATTTACCCAAAGGAGATAAACACTTATATCCACAAAAGAACCTGTGCACGGATGTTTAGAACAGCTTTATTTATAATTGCCAAAACATAAGAAAACAAGATATCGTTCAGTAACTGAATGGTTAAACTGTGGTACATCCAGACAATGGATTATTATTCAGAAATAAGCCATCAAGCCATGAAAAGACATGGAAGAAACAAATGCATATTTGTTGACTAATTTATTTACTAAGTGAAAGAAATCAATCTGAGAGGGCTATATGATTCCAACTCTATGACATTCTGGAAAAGTTAAACTGTGGAGACAATAAAGATAGGTGGTTGTTAGGTTGCCCTTGGGGAAGGGAGGGATGAGTAGGCAGAGCACAGAGGATTTTTAGGGCAGTCTCTATATGATACTACAGTGATGGATGCATGCATACATTTATCCAAACCCATAGAATGTACAACACCAAGAGTGAACCTCATGTAAACTATAGACTTTGGGTGATGATTTGGGTGTCAACGTAGGTTCAGTTGTAACAAATACACGAATGTGGTCAGGGATGTTGATAGTGTGGGAGGCTGTGTGGGGGCAGGTGAAGAGGGTATATGGGAACTTTGTACTCTCAGCTCAATTTTACTATAAACCTAAAATTGCTTTCAAAAATAATTTATTAATTTTTGTAACAATTAACTGAGTTAATATGTAAAAAGGACAGTACCCAGCACATAGTAAGCATTCTATAACTTTAGCTTTATTGGCCTGACTTTCCCAACTCACAGCTATGAAAACTAAGGTACAGGCACATTTGTGACTTGCACACAGCCTGCAAGTGGTAGAGTCAGGATTCAAACTGAGGTCCCCAAGGCTCAAAGCCCACCTTCTTTTCCCTACACCATGGCAATGAATGAATAGGCATATTAACATTGATTTTATTCATGTGTGTCCATGTCTAGGGTACTTGGGGAAGCACATGGTGCTCCTAAGAGCTCCTCTAGCCTGAACCAGGAACCGATTTCAGAGACCCAGCAAGACGGAAACACCAGAGCAACACCCACAATAACTCTAGCTCATGGTCATTTGTTTTTTCAGTCTTTTACTTCTCAAAGGTCAGGGTAAAAGTAAAAGTAAAAGTAAAAGAAATAAAGCACCCTCTCCTCCTCATAGAAAAGTGTCAGATGAGTGTCCACATAAAATAGCACAGATGACCACGGAAAAGCCAGTTTTACCAGAAAACTCCTAAGCTCTTAAAGCTACCTGATTTTAATTGAAAAGTCCTCTGAGCGAGAAACCTGGTAATAATAAAAATCGCTCACGTCAACTGAGCCCTCACCATGGGTCAGCGCTGTGCTAACCCCTTGGCCGGCGTTGTCTCATTTAGTCCTTACCATCACCCTATTAGGGAGGTGATGTTGTTATTCCCATTCTGCAGATTAGAAACCAGCCTGAGGAAGATGAAATAATTTGCCCAAGCCACACGGCTATTAAATAGCAGAGTCCAAAATACTTGCTCTGAATCACTCATCTGGGTTGTGTCCTGGACAGACTGAAAAGTGCCTGGGCTTTGGGGCCACATGGCTTGAGAGGACCCTTGTTCTAGCAGCTGCTGGCTAGTTCCTTAAAAGCCTCAACTGCCTTGTCTGTACAATGGGGATAATAATAGTGCCTACCTCATAAGGGCATGAGAGGATAAAACAAGCAACTTCACTTAGAGTGATTAGCCCAGCATTTGATATATAGTAAGTGGTTAACAGATGTTCACCCTCACTAATCTCTCTGAATCTCTTCCCATCTGTAAAATGGAGGCTGATCATAATATGTAAGTCATAGCCTTATTGTGAGGCTTAGAAGAAATGGCAAGTGTAAAGCATGTGAGTGATACCTGTTACATGATAAAGTACCACAATATGATCCTCCAAAAAGGATCATAAATAGTCAAGCCAGTTTTTTTAAAAGCATACCTGCCTGACAGCAAATGATGTTCAGGTGACAAAAGTTCACGTTGAGAGGGGAGGGGTAGGTTAGGAGTTTGGGATTAACAGATACACATTACTATATATAAAATAGATAAACAACAAGGACCTACTGCATAGTGCAGGGAACTATGTTCAATTTCTTGTAATGAGCTGTAAAAGAAAAGAATCTGAAAATATGTATATATGTTTGTGTAAGTATAACTGGACCGCTTTGCAGCACACCTGAAATTAACATTGAAAATTGGCACTTCAATTAAAAAAAAAGAATTTTTAAAAAGTACACATTGAATATTGTTCCTTAAAACGCACTTATTAGCATAAGATCTTTTATTCCTTTGCATAGATGCTTGAAGTGTGGGTGAAGAATGCTCTCTAGGAAATGTGAAGCTAAATTCTTAGGAGAGTACCTGCTGAATATTAGCCCAAAATAAAGAAGCACATCTCTGCAATGACATAAAAAAGTTTTATTTGGGGAAAGTTCAAACACAGACAAAAATAAGCAAAATAATATAACAAACCCCCAAGTACCCATCACACAGCTTCAATAGTTATCAACTCATGGAAATCTTTTTTCAACCATACTCCCTTCTACCAATATAACTTTAAAACAAACCCCAGATATTGTATCATTTCATCTGAAAACATCTCAGTATGTATGTCTAAAAGATAAGGGTTATTTTTTAAACAAAACCACATACCATTGTCATACCTAAACTTTTTTAACAAGTCTCTAATATCATCAAATAATCAATGTTCAAATTCCCAGTTATCTCCATAAAGTTTTTTTAAAAACTGCTGCTTGTTAGAATTGATTCACATGTTGCAGTTAGTTGACATGACTTTTTTTTTTTAAACAATTCATTCAATGGCAACTGGTAATCATCAAATTAGCAATAGTTATCTTCAAAAGTTATTCCACTAGCTGTGCTGTAATTTCTCGAGGTTGATCAGTTATAGGAATGGAAACTGGGAGATTAAGTGATTTGACGAAGTTCTCATGGCAAGTAAGTGGCAAAGAGGCTCAACTTCAAGCCTTATGACTCTGGAAGCCCATGCCCCATCTGACTCTGCAGCTCTGCTTATAGTTGTCTATGGTCTAGGACGCTGGGCTCGAGGCTGCTGGGGCTCATTGTAGAGTCAGGCAGAGGCCATGAAATTCCTGGGAGCATGGAAGGGGCCCCACAATTATGTGGAGATCAATTCAGAAGGAGTAGGCTGCAGGTTCAGACAAAGGCCAATATGTAAACTGAGGCCATCAAAGATTTGTAAGAGGGGTCGTATTCTCTGCAATAGCTGAGCTCTTGAAAAATATTTTTTTCTGTGGTAAAATATACATAACATTTACCATTTTAACCATTTTTAAGTGTATGATTCAGTGGCATTAAGTACGTTCACAATGTTGTACAACCATCACCATTATCCGTTCCCATTACTTTTTCATCATCCCCAACAAAAACTTTTGTACTCGTTAAACAAAAATCCCTGTTTCCTTCTCCCCTCCCCAGACCCTGGTAACCTCTATTCTACTTTCTGTCTCTATGGATTTGCATATTCTAGGTGCCTCACATAAGTGGAATCATACAGTAGTTTTCCTTACGTATCTGGCTTCTTTCACTTAGCAAATGTCCTTAAGTTTCAATCATGCTGTTGTATATGTCAGAATGTTCTTCGTGTTTATAACTGAATGATATTCCATTGCATGTAAACACCACATTTGGTTTATCCATTCATCTGTTGATAGATGGTTCTTTTCATATTCTTATACTTCTAATAAAGACAATCATATATATCTGTTGCCTTTGTCATTTCAGAGACAAAATGCTATATGCCATCTGAAGAAAGAAGACCATGCCATCTATGAACTATTCTTCCCCTCAAAATAAAACTCAAATTTGTTCAAGACTCTAGATCTATTTACCAATTTATAGGAAATACAGAGGCCGGAACATCATATTAAACTACTCCCTGGGGATGCAATCAGTCAAGTCCAGACTGTGGAAAATCTATAGGACACATGACCTAGTTTCTTCCACAAATAAGTTGCAGGCGGGAAAATGAAAGAGCTAGAAGAGAAACCTGTAGATGAAAAGATACTTAGAAGCCGTGTCCTGTGAATATTCTCACTACTGATTTTGTAATAATCAGGGCACGCTAAATATTTGCTATATTTAGACCATGACTGTGTCCCCAGACCTACTTCTTTCCTTAGATCTGATTTTATAAATGCTGGTGATAAATCAAACCTGACTTACATGATATATCTTATGCAGGAAATGTCTGTGACTCTAGGTATCTGATCAACCTCAAGAAATAGACATCAATAGCCTGAAGCACAAGAAGAACAGTTTCCATTGCAGCAAGCAGGACTCCAGTTAGACCTTGGAAAGAACTTTTTTTTAGCTGTTAAAGGATTGTTAAAATTGGCCCAAGTTGTGGAAGGAGATGGAGGAATGTCCATCTCTTCTGGTTTTCTGACATGCCTCAGGGGAAGCCCTCTGTGGCCACTCTTAATTCTGGTCTAAAGACATCAAAACTAAAGTAAATCAGCATAGATGAACCAAGTCCATATTCTATGCAAAGCACTAAGTTAAGAGCAGGACTGTGTGTCCTATTCCTACAAAGCACAGCATCACCGCCCCCCCACCTCCCACCTGTGACTGAGGTGCAAAGACCAGTCAGAGACACGTGCAAAGTTACACAGCAGGATGGATCTGAATACCTCTGAAGGCCACAGTAAAGGGGAGTCACAGCAAACAGTGCATGACTAATTATCAAGTGAAATCGTCACGGAGACTCGAAGGGGGACAGACCAGATGAGGGGTCAAGGAAGGCTTCACAGAAAGAGGCTAGGTTTTGAGCCTATAATAGGAAAATTTAGAAAATAATAGCACTGCTTGCTGGGGAACACT